TATATTACATTTTCTGCATTTTGAAATAATTAGTTGACATCACAATGTTTGTCGAATATTACTGTTTTTTTTTACTTTTGTGATTAGAAGAAGAAGCAGAGGTGAAACTTTTTGTTGAATTTATAGTGTGAACAAAAAGTTACCCAAATAATTTTAAAAAATGTTAAAGCCTTTTAAACGTATTCAATTAAATATATAAAATCACAGGAAATAAAAGTAAGTTTTTATTTGTCCTTGATTTTGTAGCTTAATAGCTTATATGTTTCCCATTCTTTAAAAAGACATCATTAGGGGGATTAGGCATGGAACCTGCCAAGTCTTCCATAGTGTAAATGCTTTTTTAACCGCTTTGCAATCAGAGGGTGTCTTATGTCCAGTAACGCACTTTTATTTATTTTTTTAATAATCTTTGCCCATCACAATTCGTAAGTGAACCGATTACAAAAGAGATACCGATTTTTTCGATTTGCCCCCAACCAACACAACTGTGCCCCATGTTTATTTCTATTTATTTATAGAGACTCTCATCTGTAGATTTGCTTGCAAATTCGGCGATTTTAACTAATAAACTGAAAAATATTGATCTGCTACGCGGCAAAATATTTTAGATCTTTCTTTCTAAGAGTGAAGTGTTTATTCCAAATGTTCTCACTTAATCTCTAAAACGAGAAGTTATTGCTTTTTCCCTTGTCCCAGTGAGCGTAGTCAAATTTATCAAATCTGTCTTCAACAACACCGAAAAAGAAATTTCTTCCAAACCCAAAACAATTTTCACTTTAAGAACGAGTAATAAAGTAAAAATTTTTTTTTACGAATGAGGCAAGACAAATAAAAAGATCGCACTCTTTTGGATCCGAAAAACCATCTGCTTATATAAATTGGATCCCTTTGAATTTGGGACGAGTTACACTAACAATTTTTGAAAATTTCATTCTCAACCTTATTTATTTGATCCGGGCATTGGTGAGCGCATTTTAGTTCGTTGTATAGATTTCGTATACCATAATAACTTGAATTTCTTTCTAATCCGTGTTTAATCTATATTGTTTAATTTTTCAGGTGACAACACTGAAAAACGAGACTATTCAAATGTGCCGATTGAGGATAATCCATTAAAGAGTAATAATTTGGTTATTCAAAAAGCATGAAGCTGTGTATTCGTACAAGATTATTTTCAATGTTAAAAATAAAAATTTAAATAACTTTCTATCGAAATTAAAATACCTTTTCTTCAATATTGACAAGTTACACCCATCTATGTCTTGTCCCAAAATATTCATTAATTTTCCATTCGTGTATAGATGGTGAATCACGTAATTATAATTTTGTATATACTTATAAGTTGAGCTGTACTTGGTAAAGTTAAAAATACCATACAAAAAAGGAATCGTTGACCCCATGCACACCCAAACCTTTTTATGCCCTTAACCAAACACGTTATGCTCATTCTACGGCACGGATAATCGCGCCGTCCCAACAGCACGGAAAGAGGATCAGGCAAACCTATATCAGTGGCCCACGCCAACAAAGTCTGTGGCTGAGCAAGAGCAAAGCCAGGTTCAGGCTCCCCATAATTATATCACACCCAATACCCAATGGCAAACCTCGCACTAAGGTAACGCTAGTGACACCACACTTAAACAAGTCCAAGCTAGCATTACCAAGCCATTACGCTTTGCATGACCAATATACATAATGCGCAGCAATGTGTAGTTGAGCTTTTAAAGGCGCTAAGAAACTAACAAAATATATATTTTTGGCACCAAAAGCCGCTGAGTGGAAAAAACACAAGATGCGGTTTGTAATAAAAATGTTTCTAGATTTGCCTATAATATTTTACAATCTATGGTCATCATTGATTTAGAGCATGCAAGTTATCACCCAACCCGCAAGGCAATTCTTATTGCAATCATAAACAACATTTCAGTCTAAGTCGGTATCCCAATTACTTAGCCCTTTCAGACTTATTAGACCCGTTTCAATCACGTCGTCCACTTAAGGCACAGCTGCAGCTCTGCTAACATAAATATCCAGATTTCCGGCTCTAACATAAACATAACAGCGCAACCACTTAACATAAAGATTCATATTCTCATGCGCGATTCATAACGTAAACTAAAGACCCAGTCTCTAGAGCGTAATTGCTAACGAAAACTTGACTCAAAGCGCCTAGCTTACGCAAGCCACCTCGCGAGCTTTTAAGCTTTAAGGAAAGAAGCTTTAGCATTAACACAGCTGATTCGCAGCATAAGATCACCGCGAGTTTTTGAGCTTTAAGAGAATAAGCTTTATCATAACCATGGCTGACTAGCAGCATAAGTTCACAATTGTACTTGAGTTCTAATCGTGGATTCAAATAAAACGGAAGTCTTCAGCCTCCCACTTAAAAAAAAATTTTTTTTTCTAATTAGTAGCCACTAATCGGTTAATTTGCATGCTATGAATAAAGAAAAATTTCTAAACGCTGTTTGTGCAAAATTGTCGCTCATTGCGCTTCGGAAACGAAGTGAGAACACGCTGAACCCTTGCATCTGTTCCAACGTCTGGGCGTGATGGCCAGCAAAATTGGCGAGCACATTAGCCTGTCTAAAGACCGTCAAGGCGCTGCACTCGGGGAACTACAGTTGCATGGCGAGCAGCACTGCAGGGAACAACAGCTATGCCGGGGAGTTGTTTGTCAATGGTCTATCTACCATTTATATAGGATTTCAGGATCACTTATTTGTACATTCGTTTTGGTTCGTAAGTCTCGCCTAACACTTTACACTCTCTCATACATTGAACCCAGTATTCCAGCAGCTAGTGTCATTTGCTTACGAGGATGTTAATAATACGGGCGACTTCTTTGATTTGTTTGCCAAATTTAAAAAGATCATGCCATAATGGTGTACTGGCGCTTTGAGCGCAGTGCCAGCGACAGCGAAGCCAGCTACGATATGTTACCAGTTGTCCTTCCAGATCGCAAGTCTGGAGCAAACGGACCATACCTACACATGCATGATAAGATACTTATCCAGCCTGATGTAAATACTTACTTCCATATATTTACATACTTCTTAACATTAGATAATCAGGTTTGGGCTTAATGCTAAAAATGACTTCAACTGCTCTACGTTCTCTGCCATGCAATGCACCATTCTAGGCGGAGGTCTACCGATTAATGTCACCTGGCTTCTAAACAATGCCACTATTGACATCTACCATGACATTTCTTTCTCACGCATTAGCAATACTCACTTTTCTCTTATAACTTACTAGATTTACTCAATAAACAGGATAGACACACGGAAAGAAAAGCAGAATGGCAGACATTAAGAATGACAGAGATAGGCAGACAGACTGGCCGACAGTCAGGGACATGAAAGTCAGTGGACTTGCCACGATGGCTTAATCTTACGGTTCCTAGTATAGGATTAATTCAAGCGTCAATCACCGACTGTTTGGTTGTGACTACTACCTTGGTTTGGCACGAGGACTACCTAAGCCTCTTCCGTAATCTGGATCACGGAGCCCGGTTGTATGACGCAACTCCAGGTCGAGCGATGCTCTACCCACATTTGGGTGTTAAACCACAACTGCCACGATACTCCCCGAAGGACCGTACCAACTAACCAGGACACAACAAGTTCCGTGGGCTCCTAGTTACCCGTGGTACCAGATTAAAAGCCTCTGGTCAGGACTCGTACCAGACGGGTACTTCCAATTTAACTCCAAAAAAGATAAGGGTTGATGGCCCCAGAAACGATTAAAACATTGCTGCAGAGAATAGAACGCAATTGATTGAAAACAGCAATTGACAAGTGCAGCAGTATACACTATGTTCATTGCATGGCTTTCTCATTGTGGGGAGGGAGGCTTATTCCTGCCTCTTCGGCAAACGATGGCATTTACAAGTTGATCATAGATCAAACCGCTAGGCGGCCAGCAAGTGTCCCCAACAAGTCCCAAAAGACTATGGCGGAGAGAGCAGAGAGCCAAGAGTGGCTCTGTGTTCCCTAACGCCAATGGTCCCAGATCAATCATCTTGTCAGAACTCGTATCCCAAGAGGACACTTCCAGTCTTAGTTCGATGATGCTGGCGAAGGGTAGCCCCGAACATCACAATGTTCAACAAAATGTCCTTTCAGACAGACCCCACCATTCGTACATCTACTATCCATCATCATTCATACAATTCCTTCCTGCAATTGCAGATCTCGAAGATCTGCCTACTTTCTGCACTCACAAAGAACACGCTCCGATGTCTCAGCATCCGAGCTACAACGGCATTCTGGACTGTCATAAAGGCTCCTCGAATGCAAAAATGCATTGAGAGAACCGTGACAAGTAAACAGAAATCCAAGACTCAGGGCGAACCCAATGTCTGATCGTCTGCTGGCAAATGTAACCTCCCGTATAAACCGACACGACGTATATGACACGCCCATTCACGCTTCTATCCCATCTGGCTTGCCAGTCAGACAGAACACACTCTTTCATCAATCTTTTGCATTCACTAAGCCCTAAACTCTCCACATCCCTATCCGCTAGCCAATCATTCTGCACACAGACAGAGAGGCAGGCAGTCAGACAGACAGGCGAACAAGCAAACAGACTCGCAGAGAGAGATCCCGATAGGCAGATCCCCAGCCAGGGAATCTGACAAACAGCCAGGGAAACGGACAGACAGACTAATTTCCTATGCTTGAACGGCTGTTTTGAAAAATTGTGGCTTTGATTACTGTTATTTATGTTATTTGACGTAAATTGAGGTATTTCGTGTAATATTTATAGCTTTGTTAGTGTTCGGTCATATACCTCATAAATCTTAGTTTTGGTATCAATAGCAATGTCAAAAGAAATGATGTTAAGATTTTGTTAACGCTCGTCTATGCCATAAACTCTCATACACATGTACGAAATCTCGCCCTCTTTCAAACTTTGTAATTGCTCAGTCCTTCTTATCTTAAGTTTTGTTAAGACATCAGTTCTATAAGCATCATCTTAGAAATCAGTCGTGCTGCTCATTAATTTGTGAAACCTTTATTAAAACTTCATACCATCCACACACGCCCACTTGAGATTAGATTCTTAAAAGGTAAAAAAAAACGCTTTTGATCCAACATTTTAGCGCACAATGTCAGAGCGTGGAAATTGGCGGCATATCGTTGCGATCGTTGGTAAAAGGCTTCCTCGAACTCTTCACAAAATAAAGCATCGGCAGTAGCGTTTGGCCAACTAAGGGCATTATCGCTGCCTTTTCTTCGTCGCTGGATACGCTCTGATTTAGATTGCGCATTGCCTTTGCTTCACAGCTTCATTCTGGCCGCCGTTGATTCGTTGATTCGTCGCTAAAATATTTAGACACATTCGATTAGCTGTTCAATCTTCAGCCAGTTGACAAACCGGGCTGAAATCAGCTGCGCAGTCTACTGGACAATGCGTCTGCCCTGTACTCATCATTATCGTTATTGGGTACCGGATCAGATATTGCCCAAGCCAAGTTAATATTCATCGTCATCGGAAAATGTGATCATGAAACACGTAACAAGCGGAATGTGGCTCTTGACTTAAGTACATTGCTAAATAAGGCTCACTGCACTTCATTGTCAGTTTCTACAATCAAGCGGCATCGCATAGTATCAAATGGCTGATTCTTCGAAAAAATAACACATGCAAGGGATTATTGTTTGCTATTACTAATCCAACACGCATTGTAAGCTTCAACTCCGTCCATAGGAAAGTACAATTTTCTCAGTTTGAAGACATGAGTCCCAAACTCAAGTACGGAGTCATTAAAAATGCTAGACTTTGCATTAATTGCCTGCAATCAAGACATCGGATCCTTCTAACAATCGTTGTCGAGGCTGCAAGATCGCCATCACACGCTATTATTGTATCGCCATTAGCCATAGCGCACATGTCCTCAACAACTTCTGCCGCAAGGTAGTCGCATATGAATCCGTCGCAAGGCGGACAATTTTTTATTGCTACTGCAAAGGTGCTAGTGCGAGATTCATCAGGGGTGTATAAAGAAGGCAGAGCATTAATTGACTCATGCTCCTAAGTCAATTTCATAACGTGACAAGCATCAGTTCAAAAGCCGCACCATACGGGAGTCTGCAAATAAAATTAACAACTGTATAACAACTCGAATTGAATCTCGTTTGTCACCATTTGAATTAACACTACAGTTCTGCATAACGTCTCACATTGCCTACCAGCCGGATTCGGAAATAAACACGTTAGATTGGAGGTTGCTCACGAATACACCGTCGGACTGATCTCGGTACAGAGGCATTTTTCAAATGCCTGATTGTTGGACAGATCAAGATTGGAGACAAATGACCAGTTCATCAGAAAACGTTGCTTGGATGGATTGTATCTGGGAAGTATCGTCATCAGTCGGCTAAGCGTCATCAACGAGTTTGTTTTCTGTGGAGGAGTCAATTGACAAAAATCTTCAATTACTGTGGAGCATTGATGCTATACAAAATTTTTCAAAGTCAATCACTCCGGAACAACGGCTCTGTAAAAATATGTAGTCAAGGACAACACAGATGAATAACGGTGGGGAAACCCAACGTGCCTTGGCAATTCAAGCTATGTTGCACGTCGTCGGTCATTATTGCTCGAGAGGCGCCTCAGTCTCCAGCCTAATGTTCGATAGCAATATGTAACTTTCATGAAAGAATTAGAGGATTATGGTTATATGACTTTGGTGACGAATCCAAGATTAAGTGAGCCACACTTTTACATACCTAACCATTGTGCTTTAATCCCAGCAGTGCATCAACGAAGTTAAGAGGCGTGTTTGACGCTTCAAGCACTACATCGTGCCAGCGTTCATTAAATGATTTGCTTTTCGTTGCCCAACAATCCAAGAAGATCTGTATATAATTCTCCTACGTTTTCGATTGGTTCGTTTAGTCAGCCCAGTGAATCGGAAATTTTAATATATATATATTGGAGAGCATCCCCTGGTGCTGATTTGCAGACCTTTGAGCTAAATACATTAACCTATGGATCGGCCACGGCCCCCTACTTATCCGTTCGCAGTTTGCAATATATAGATCTGCATGTGAACGAGTTTCCATTTGGTGCATCCACTGTTAAATCATCGTTTTATATTGGGGAGCAAACGAGCTCATCGTGTTGCAGAACATAAAAAAGAGGTCATCGAGATGCTTCGCCGAGGACTCTTCCCATTGGTTAAGTGGCACTCCAATCAACCCGCCGTCAGAGACGATAAATCGGGAAAGGATTTAAGCTTGGATTAAAACGCTATCACGAGATGTGCGTCAAACTAGCGGCGGTGACTTAGCGTCGAATTTTGGTACTTGTTATCGGAAAAGTATCGGTCACTTTCAAATGCATTTATTTATGTTTTTAAGCACGAAACTAAATAAATTTAAATGCAGAATTGCATAAAATTTAATTATTTATATCTACATTCATTTATTTTTGAGTTTTAATTTAAAATATGGGTAAACAAGGGGGTTGAAAAGTTAGGTTTTCACCATACTTTAAATATCTTAGTTTAGGGATAATGGCCCCGAAAACCGCATATACACGATTGAAGTCTATAGTTTCACCTTACCAATCTTGAAAAAATTATAAAAATCGATCAGCACGTTTTTAAGATATTTGTGCAGAGTGCAGCAACCTCGTTGCTAGCCCCATACAAAACGACCGTAAAAAATCATCTTTGCACTTGAACCCTAATATCTTTTCCCAGGGATAATGGCCCTCAATGCACGGTATACCAACTTGAAGATACATGTTTAAGGAAGCTTTACGCATTAATTCTAAGCAAATCGATCAGCCAGTTTTTTAGAAAAATAACAAAATGTAAACACACCTCATGTTGTTCATTCAAAAGGCCTATCGAGCTACTAGCTCCAACGGGAACCAAACCACTGCTCGGAATCAGTGTTGAAGAATGTGATACAGTATTGAGCGGGAACAAATTAATTCAAAATACTTGTATATGGAAAAGAAATGCAGTAATATATGAAATAATTGTCATATTACAATAAAACATCATCTTTGGTAAAAAAGACTGCTGCAAAAGACGACAACTATGCATTTAAGTATTTATACACGTATAATAACGAAAAGGTGGCAATATTTCAATCTTTATTATTCTATTTCTCCGATAATGGCCCCAAATGCACGGTAGTTTAACATATAGATCGCGAATTATCAATCATTTTGCTTTTTAAATCAAGAAAATCGTCCAGCCAGTTTTTAAGAAGTTCGCATTTTTATATTTTTCTTATTATACCCTGTTATGCAAAAAAATACTAGCTGGCAACATTACATACTTAACATATTTATTCATCAAAATGGCGGCGATATTTCAACCTTTATTATTCTATTTCTCCGATAATGGCCCCAAATGCACGGTAGTTTAACATATAGATCGCGAATTATCAATCATTTTGTTTTTTAAATCAAGAAAATCGTCCTGTAATAAAATAAAATAGCCGACTCTATTCAGCTTGTAAGAAAGAAAGAAATAAGAAACATTAATTATTAAAAATTATAAGGTATTCAACTAATTATGCGTACGTACTGAGGGAAACAATTTCGGGTACGCTGCGTACCGCACCAGGACCCGATCTGGAAAACTAAAGTGGATTTATAGTGTTTTCTTTTTATACCCTGAAACCCATTAAAAATGGGTATAAGGGTATATTGGATTTGTGCAAAATCCAAATGTATGTAACATGCAGAAGGAAGCATCTCCGACCCCATAAAGTATATATATTCTTGATCAGCATCAATAGCCGAGTCGATCTAGCCATGTCCGTCTGTCTGTCCGGCCGTCTGTCCGTCCGTCCGTCCGTCCGTCCGTATGTATCAACGCAAGGATCACAGAACCTATAAGAGCTAGAGACTGAACTTTTAGATTTAGATGCTTCTAGTTTCCGCGCAGATCGAGTTTGTTTCCGATAATCGATAACTTACTCCGTTTCCAAGCAATCGATAAAAATCGATATCAATATCCTGTTTTTTGGGCAATTTTGGTAAATAATAAGAGCTAGAGTCACCAACCTTGACATATAGCTTCTAAAATAAAATATATATATGCATTTGATGCTTGAAGAAGAGGGTTCAGGGTATCCCCTAGTCGGGAGCTCCCGACTAGAACCTCTTACTTGTTTAATTTATATTTTTTGTTGTTTAAATTTCTTGTTGTCACAGCTGTTTGCGTTGTTCATTTTTTAGAAGTTCGGGCTGTTTGATGTTATATATTTCGTGGTTCGTTTTGGATAGTGTTGTGTAGGTCTGTTTGGTTACAGAAATTATAGCTTGTTGGTATCGATTGTGCGGACTGCGGGCCCCGAGAACCGATGATCCAGTCGGCGCGGCCAAAAAGAAACATGCAGTTCCGTAACAGTTTCTTTGGCTTTTTATTAGTGCAAACGCCTTTGTACCAAATGTGCACTTTGCTTACAATTTTAAACACTTTTAAAGTCCAAGACTTGGTTAAGCGTCTTATTCAAGTATATCTTTGCATAAGGTCATATGTTTTTACTGGTTTGTCCAAAAATCGCTTAATTTTTGCGGAAAAGCACTTTGTTATCCGGGATTTTTGAAACTGGGAATAGATTTTGCACAGGTCGGACACATGCAACACTTCCTTTAAAAAAGTGTATTTTATTTGTTTCTCTTTCACAGGATTTTTACATTTCTGAAACCGCAAAACGATTTGTAGTCACTTGCTACTAGTTCTTCATTTACATCCCTCCATGGGACAAACAACATAACGAATTCTCAAATTTTCTATCAGTATTAATATTAAATCTCCTATGCCTAAATAAAATGGTAGTGTTCCTTTTCTTAACAAACCCACTACCATCGCGAAGTACGTAAACTAATTGCTGATAAGCCCTGGGGTTTTCGATATCATCAGCATCATCTATATTTGACGAGTTCTACTATGCCGGCATAGTGCATAAATAATCTAAAGCGTCGGGCTCTGAACATAATGGTGTATAGGTCTCATTTCCAATATTGCTACTAAGTCATCGGGTAAGATTTGGAACTGTTGCTTAGTCATCCCTTACCCAACCCAATGCTCTGGTAATGAGGTATTAATAAAAACTACTGCGTTACTGCTTTCGGACAGAGCATACCTGAACAGCAGTAAACGGCTTCCTGAGCGGATATAACCGTACCAGAAATAAACTTATTCTATATATGCTGTAAACTTCACTTTGAAGTTACATTGCCTCTACTTATCTCCATTACAGCTTCACGCACTAGCTTTGAAATTCCACTCTGGGACTTGTTAGTATAATTAACAACGAAACTGCAGTAAGCATAAGTATCTAATATAAACTGGATATCGAAAATGGGTCGCTGCAGTTGAAAGAGGTGAGTATTATAAGCGTTAAACTTAATAGCTGCGAATGATCGCTATAAATATATTTTGGGCTTCTTTATATCCGACCTTAAGTTAAGTTGATCGCGGGACAGAAAGTTATTGAAATCGCTAAGGTAATCTATGGGTTCACGATCAAACCGATGTTCGAAAACGCCCTCAATCTTTTCAAAATATATATGATACACATATTTATTTTCGGCATCCTCTTCTAATGAGATTATGGGCATGTGAGGGTATGGAATACAAAATCTACAATACTTTTTTTTCCTAACTTCTGGCCTACATATATCTTGGGATTCATTATACTCGACCTGAGTGCATTTTTATATCACTCATAATAAGTTAAGTTGATCGTGTGGCAAAAAGTTATTGAAATCGCTATGGTAATCTATGGTTTCATGATCAAACGGATATTATAAAATGCCTTGAATCTTCTCTTGCATGTGAGGGGAGCATCATTGCTGAAACTCAACTCGCCAATAATACTTAATAACACTGGGATTGCCTATAACGAAAATCCAAATACTTAGCGCAATTAACAGGGTCGGTTCTACTTTTTCGGGCTTATTGTCAAAACTTAAATTAAATTCCAAGTTCTGACCTAACTATAGTTGTTAAAGTTCGAGGACACTTTCTCTTAAGACCAGCAAAACTAGTTGCGAAGGCCAGCTCCTTTGAATAACAATCTTCAATCATGTCTAAAGCTCGCCGACCCTCTCCAGGAGGTATAACTTTTTGTTTTGCATGGCAATATTTTCGACAGGGAACATCTTCTTCTTTATTATTCTGATCATTCATGGAGGCTTGAGCACATCTTGCCACGAACTGCAATACTAAGCCCCTGTCATCAGCAGATGTAACCAACAGTCGGACGAAAAGGACGACAACAACTGTAATTTGATGCTTTCTGCAAAGCCCGGTGTTGACTGCAGAATGGTTTCTGAATAATTCAACAATTTTTTAATTGGTTTATTAATTTAACTGTTGAACATCGTTGAAGGAATTCTGCCGAAGAAGAAAACGAACTTCATTCCTTATTATTGCTTCTGCCTTTCTGTAGAGCTCGAGAACAAATTCTGCTTACAAAAATCGGAAAGGTATGTTGCTGCTAAGTTGAGCAACGACAAGATCAAAGCTAAACAGTGCTCTTCATATTAATTTAGAGCAACTGTTAAGAGCGTCTGTTATTTAAATGCGTGCGTGAACTATCGCTGCACTCTGCATTCTTATACTATTTCTAAGTTACTTGGTTTTGAGCTGTTTTAACAGTTTCGGCCATGAAATCATAGCTATAATCCATCCGACGTTTTAGATGAATTTGCACCTCGCTCTCATTAAACTCCCTCGAAAGGGACGTTACAACATTGGTAACAGGAATGGGTTCATTGACCACTGCTCCTTGAACTGCTTTTTGTCGGCCATATCCTAAATAATCATGAAAGGAATGCGAATGGAAATCAGCCTTTCCTCTAAAGGCGTTAAGCCTTTCAAACAATCTGGCAGATCGGGAATTTCTAGGATATTTGGTATAAAAGGTTTTGGCTTTTTGTTTAATTAAAGGCTACGCTAAATGTTAGCGCAAGCCCTGCTTTCCTTTTCTATTGAATGCAGCTATCATTCCATCTACGTTATTTCTAATAACTGGAAAAACTCTATCTTCTGAAAATTAGCAGCTCGTTCTTACCTGTTCCTGGTGCTACTACCTACCTACTGCTGGGACACGCGTATTTTCCTCTCGTACTTGAGTACGAGCATGATCTTTGATTCCTATCCCTAGCTCCTTCTAAAAGTCACCGGTCTACGTCTTGTCGATGGCGAGCTCGCCGAATATTGTCTCGTTCTAGTTCGTTTGCCCTATAAACTGGGTTTGGTCTGTGTCTCGATCGACGCGTAGTATAAGCCAATTGCTCCTGTTGCATATAGCTGTTGCCTAACTGGAGAAGTAGCTCATCGAGTCGAGTGGTTTTTGGTATTTCGTCTCTGTTCGTCTGCCCGGTAGACTGGTTCTTACCGGC